AATCAGTTTGAGGTGATAAAAAGAATGAAAACAATGAGGAAACTGTAAAATCTATAAAACAGCATACACAAGAATAGGTGTGTGATGAGAGCACCAAAGGAGAGAAGAGAGACAGGTTATTTAAATAAATACCAATTGGTAGCTTTCTGTATCTTGGCACTGACTGGGGCATTTGGATTTGTAATGCTTCAAGGTTAAATAAGATGGACCCCCAAATTACAACAGATCACTAGGGAAGCCAATAAACACAATGGCTTCTTAATGGGGAAGATAAAATACCAGTTTTCCTGCCCAGACAGCTGGGAGTGGATATTGCTAACAATCTGGTGGCCTTTTTCTAACTGGCAGACCTCGCCCACCTATTGCTATAGAGGCAGACCTAATCTAAACCCCCAGAATGTTTATCCCAGACTCTTCCCTCCTAGACTATTACCCATCCTTAGGGGAGACATCACATGTACTTCATGGCCTGCTGACCCCTATGCTATGTTGATCAGAGACCTCACTAGATTCTAGGCTTTTAGCTGTAGAACTTACCCTCATGGTCACATGTATTTTGTAAAGGAGTTTCTATGTAGTTACACCTTAACCTTTATTGTGCATCTGAAATTGGAATGCTTGTTGCCTGGAACCTGTTCCCAAATTGTACTGTGTTTTAAATATGCTGACAATGAACCATCTAGCATTAGACTCCTGGACGTCTAATCCAGGTTGATGAAGTCAATCTGAACCATTTTTTATTCTCATCTTTTCTCAGATTACTGCCTGCATAGTTCCCCTCCACTACCTAGAGATACCACAACCAAATCAGAAAAAGAAGAAGGAATTGTAAAAGCACTAAGAGAAAACTCTTCTCAGATAACACAGACAGAAACTGGAGAGGGGAGAATGACAAGCTCAGAATTCTTAAAGAAAAACAAAGCTGTCACCCACACAAGCAAACCTGAATAAGTTGTCCCTCAAGAATAAGTGAAAACAGGCTGGAGAAATGGCTCAGCAGCTCACAACACCTGCTGCTTTGTCAAAGGACCTGGGTTCAGTTCCCAGCACTCATATGTTGACCAGAAACTGTAATTCCAGTTCCATGGAATCGAACACCTTCTTCTAGCCCAATGATTATCAACCTGTGGGCTGCAATCCTTTGGAGATTGCATATCAGATATCTTGCACAAACAGATATTTACATTATGATTCATAACAGTTGAAAAATTCCAGTTATGAAGTAGCTATGAAGTGTTACCACAACATGAGGAACCATTAAAGGGTCACAACTTTAGGAAGGTTGAGGACCACTGTTCTAGACTCTGTGGGCTTCTCCATACATATGTGTAGGCAAAATACTGATAGACATATGAAATTGTAAAATTTAAAAAAGAAATGAGTAAGATAAACACATCATCAGAAGCAAAGCAGAGAGGGTCATGAGCGCTGGTCATGACTTGTAAGACCCACCTTATAAGGAACCCAGGAGATTATTCAAGTTTAAATGGCAGAGAGCTAGGTACCAGTGTGGAAACCCACTGGTAAACATTTGGAGGTGAACTCTGAATGCCGTAACATTGGAAGGATGGAGGGCAAACAAAGCAACTGGAGTACACAAGCTAGAGGACAAAAGAACCATAAGCACCATACCTTGTTATTGAAAAGATACAAAATATGACATTCATATAAAGAGATGTCAGCGAATGTGGAAGTGTAGTTCTGCATGCTATGGAAGTTATCTGCTTAGACAAGTCATTTTTACTACAATGTTCTATGTAAGCTTCACAGTTACCACACACAAAAGGAAAACTCAAACGGTGAGAAAGAAATCAGCGAAAGAATCACACACACACACACACACACACACACACACACACACGTGTGCACATATATCACAGCTATAAAAATAGGAAATCAAGTCATATATGACAATGTAAATGAACCCAATGGACAATTTTCTAAGTGAAAGGATCCAGACTCAGAGCATACTCTACAACTTCACACGTGAAATGCAGAACATCACATTTACAGAAGCAGAAAGCAAGGCGGTAGTTACCAATGGCTGAGGGGTGAGGGCACCTGGGAATTAGGAGAGGCTGTCAAACACAGCCTGAGACAGCTCTAAGATCATGAGGAGCCTGCATGTGCCTATTGCTAGCCATTCTGCCTGAAATCTGTTGGAAGGATAGAAGGTAAGTGTTCTTCCCCCACTGTACACTAAGATGACTAGTGTGAAAGTCTGCACATGGTAATTCGTTTGGTTGGGGTAATCATTTCACAATGTACACATATATTGAATGCCAAATTGTATAACTAACAAACATAAAAGTTTGTGTTAGTTATACCTCAAAATTGAAACATCAAAATGTCCCATTTTTTTAAAGCCTTGACCTAAGCAAAAAGGCTTTAATACCTCCTGCAGGGCACTGGAGAAAGTGCTTACAAAGATTGGGCTTCTCTTGATGCGCTGGACACAATACCCTTGTTTTTCTGATTAGGTTGACAATCCAAACATGGCACTAATATATGTCAAAATGAAGAATTTTACCTTTAATGTAGTTTGATTATCCCTGAACAGAAAATGACAAATGAAAACATCTTTCTGGTTTATGAAGATGTGCTATATTTGTACTTTGCCTAATTAAAGGGAGAGCGGAAACCTGCGGCAGGAGCAAAGGTCAGGGAAGGTGCTCTCACTTAGGCCTTTTAGCTTCCTAGCATGGAAGTAATTGGTGAAGAATTGCAAAGATGTAAGTTCTTGCTGGTTCAAAAACACAGCTGTATTCAATAAGGGGAACCAACAGAGACTTGGTAGGGCCAGAAGGCTTTGAAACCTTGGAATCTGTTCATATACACTTTTTTCCTTTTCTCAAAATGCTCGTAAGCAAGAAATATCTCCATATGTCTACCATCCAAGTTAGTTAAAAAGAGGGTGATGCGAGATTGCATTTCAAGGGATATCCCACACTTCTGAAGCTTGAAGCCATTCTATGACAGAGGCACAAGTGAAGAAACTTAGGAAATAAAGACATTGAGACGTCTCTAAGTACAAAAGGCTATTCTGTAGTCATTTTCCATTTGCATGTACTTAGATTCTTACTGATATAGCACCAGCAAATTCCTTCACTTCAGTAATAGATCAAAAGTCAAAGCTATCTTTTAAAGCATTAGCACCCTTCATCACCACTCAGCTGATGATTCCAGCTTGGGGAAATGCCAAGACCTTCTATTAACGAAATTGAGAATCAGAAAGACATGCCTTAGTCACCACAGCTCCAGTTACTATGATCAGCTGTTTTTAAAAATAACCTCTCTTGATCTTATGATCCTCTAGTCAGGTGATGGTGAGACTTCTAGGAATGGAAGCACTTGTGTGTGGTGATAAGCTAAGTCCCTATAGACAGTGAAGTAATTATGCTATTCAGTATAGAGGTCTGATACTATGTGACCAGGCAAGCTGAATATCTGAAATCTATCATAATATGTTAGAGTTGGATGGAGCACAGCCAGAGGCTAAGCCCTGACCACACACACACACACACACCTACACACACACACACCCTACCTCCTCACCCAGCCCTACATTAACTGCCTTCTGCTAGATTTCTAAGGCTTTACTTCTGTCACAGAAACAACACATCAGTTAGATCATTGTCAAATAGGTCTTGAATTTTAAAGAAAAATTTAACAAGAGGAAACCACGGCTACTTACAGCTCAGCTGTCAATAGGATTTCTTAGATGGTTCTAGTAATTTATCCTTAATTCTTGCAGAAATTGAAAGTGAGTAGTTATGTCCATTATTTGGGCAGAGTGGTGTGAAACCTTCAGGATAAGCATGAGTTCAAAGTTTGTAGCTCTAAACTGCAGTAGAAGCAGGGTTAAGAGCTTTCTAAAATGAAAACAAAACAACAACAACAAATCCCCGACGTCTTGGCTTATAAAACAAATATTTCTCTCAAATAAGACAAAGGCTATTTTGTGGGGTAATTTGAGTACTGACCCAATTTGCAGAAATTTCTATTATCTGAGTTTCCCAAGTATGGGACAGTATTTCTTTAATGCAATTAAGCAACTCAGGTTCCAATTTCTAGAACTCAGTATGAAGCCCAAGATGACCTTGAACTCTTCATCCTCCTGCCTCAAAATCCAACCAAAGTGCTGGGATTATAAGCCTTTGTAACCATGCCCAGCTTTTTAAAACCAAAACAAAACAAAAACAAAAACAAAACTCTACTGAAAAATGTGGTAGATGTTTCTAGCTAACCTGAAGTTACTAGGGTTCCTGTGGGGAGCGCGGGGAGGGGTTGCGGCTGAGGTGGGAGCATTTAGGGCTGGCCCCGCCCTCATACTCCGCCCCACCTCGCAAGGTGGAGACTGAGGGCGGTTGACAAATGGCTCCTGCGCTCTGCTCCCATTGGCTCTGGGCACACGCGCCGCACACGCTGGTTGGCCGCCCGGCCGTTGCCCTAGCGACGCGTGCTGCTTTGGTTCCGCGTCTCTCTAGGAGTTTGGAGTCGGTCTGAGAGTCCTCTGTAGGAACTTCAGCGGCAGGGCCTGTAAACCCTAGATCCGGAGAGCCTCGTGGTGACCTCGAAACCTGCTAAACCCTGTGGCCCGTGATGACCTATAGGACACTTACTAGTCTCCTGCTGTCTACCTGGAGAGCACGTGCCCTTGCTGTTTACCCCGCTTAACGTGCCGGGTGCTGGGTGCTGTCTACCCCTGGGGTGTACCTATTGAATGCTCCCGGGCTGAATAGTCTGTCGCATTTTCCCCTGCTGGTTGCCCAGAGTGGACACGGCGCAGCGGTGTGCTCTCTGTGGTTGTGACAGCTCTTGGGTGTGAGGCATCTGCAGGTGTGTCAGCTGGAGGCGGGCGGAACCCCGAGCGCGCTGACTTTGCCCCTGTAGCCTCTGCTCCCAGGGGGCGGGTCGGCAGCGCCCAGATACCCGGAGAACCCGGACTCAGCAGCTTCTTTTTCTTCCCGACGCAGAGGACTTGCTTGGAGCGCCAGGCCATGAGGAACACCAGCAAGGAGGTGCCAGGCGCCTCCAACCGCTACGCTACCTGCGGTGAGGTTGGGTGAGAGGGTGATACAAGTTGGAAGGGTAGGCACCTCTACTTTGACTGTTCCTGTGCAGGGGTGGAAGCCAGAACCTTTGCATGCTAGGCAACACAGCTACCTCCCTTTTCAATGGGGAGTGCAGCTGCTCATTGAAATTCAATTTGTAGCAAATTAACTCTCATAGCTCTAACATTTTGGCAGGGGCTGTTGACTGAGAAAAGTCTCATTTTTTTGACAGCATTAACCAGGTTTATCACTGACTTCCTAGCTTTTGATCCTAATTTAAGCCCCAACCAAGACAAATGCCCCCCGTTTTCAGCATCTGGATCCAGAAAGCTGAATTCACTGTAGGTTCGTGGGTTGTGTGCGCCTGTTTTGAAGCTAAATAGAGAAGGAAGACATTTCCTGATGCTGTCATCGCTTTTCACTTGTTTTTCCTCCATGTCTAGAGAAGGGTTGACAACAGAAGAGAGGGAAGAGGGTCTGGTGTTGGCTGGGAGGGGACAGTTGGAGCCATGTCATCTGCATGGAGGGGAAGAGTGTGACCTTTCCACGTTTTCTATGCATGCTAGCTCATGCCATTGTTGGTGACAGCCAATTGAGAACTGGGGTGGGCTGTATACAGCTCAGGAGGCCTGGCCAATTTTTATCCCGTCCTAGGCTCTGTCACCTTCCTGTGACTTCTCGTGTGCTAGAGAGTGTGAACCATGCTGATAGACACTCAGTGCCAGGTGTATTCAGCAAAGTCTATGTCTTCTAACACATTTAACCTCATAGCACCCCACCAGAAATCATCACCTCATTTTAGAGACCAGGAAAATAAGGCATGCAGAGTTTGAAGTAAGTTACCCTTAGCATAAGTACGCCCGCCAAAGTGTCTTTTTCTCCGAGGCTATACAGCCTAAAAAGAGCCCATATAGTTACTATTGATCTCTAAGCTATGCCAATTCCTAGAAAGCCAATTTTTTTTAAAGTGAAGGTCAAAATAAAACAGCCAAGCAGAGAAATTAGCCACTCACTTGTGTGTGTGTGTGTGTGTGTGTGTGTGTGTGTGTGTGTGTGTGTGTATCTGTAGTTTAGAAACCAGAGATTGGGGCACCCTGTAGTTTGGTTTCATTGTCTCTTATGGCCTTTGTTTCCTTATTTGGAAAATAAGTGAAAATAAGGGCACAGCCTCAAATTGGAAAGCTGTACAGAGAAAAGCAGCCAGCCAGTGGTTGATCGGGTGCCACACGAGTACAAGCATTCTGCAGTGACCAAAGCTAAAAAGAGACCTTTGTGTCCCCTTTACCTCTACATGTGTATTCTAAGTGGCAGTGGTTTGTCCTTACTGATGGGGCCCAAGATCTCTGAGCTGCCCCTGTGTGCACGTTTACAAATGCCTTAGTGTGCTCAGTGTCTGTCTAAAGCCTGCAGTAATGAGATGGCAGAAGATACACTGTTCTCTGTGGATTAATTAGTAATCAACACACAGAGAAAACATAAAGCAAGAACCGAATGACTTTCCTCTAAAAGAAGAAACAAGGAGTTAAGCCCTGTCAATAAAAGGCTGCTGAATTTTGATTCTTAATTCTCTGGGATCCTTTGTGCAAGTCTTCAAAACTGGATCATGTTGACTCAGCTAATGGGTATTCTTTAGACATTTAAAGTTTACAGGTGAAATATCCTACACTTTTAGGCAGCACGCCCAGCTTTAGTTCTAAGAAAAAACTGGTGGTGTGAGCATTTAGCTTCAGAGAATATCGACTTCTTGCTTCTATGTTTGTTCTAGGTTATTCATTGCTGTTTCTCTGTGCCCTGACTGTGAGCAAGTAGCATGACTAATCAGCTACCCACCTACCTGTAAAAGGAGAGAGAGACATCTCTTGTATGCACTGGCTTGCTTGCTTGTGGGGCCCATTGTGTACAATCTGCAGGGCAGGTTGGAGAGCAGGGGAAGAGCTGGGGCTACAAATCAAATTCAAAGTCCATCTGGAGGCAGAATTCCCTCTTCTTTAGTTTTTCTTAAGACACAACTGAGCAGAGGAGACTCACTCTGTTGTAGAGAATCATCTGCTTTACTCAGATGTAAGTGATAAATCTCATTTTGAAAAGACCTTCACAAAAGCAATGGGAGTAATACCTGCACAAAGTCTGTATGCTGTGGCTGAGTCAGATAGACACTGAAGTTTACCATCACACTGCCATGAAGGACCAGGGTCTGCATTAGACTTTAAATGTCAGGAGTCTGGCAAGTGCTATGAAACACAGCCAGCATCCATGCCACAGAAATTGTGTCTTTTGTATTTTATACTTTTTCCAAGTCTTTGTTTCTTAGCTTTTCTACTGATGTGATGATATATATATATATACTTTTTTGTATTTTGGCATCTGATTGATTTCTGATGCAAACATAGCTAAACTGCCTCCAGTTTACATGCCCTGTTCTCTCCCATCCATCAGTGTGTGTGTGTGTGTGTGTGTGTGTGTGTGTGTGTGGTTATACATCAGCACTAGTAACTTAGTAACTCCAGTTCCAGGACTTTGAGACTTTGCTAATCCCTCTGTCCCTTGATTGAAGTTCCTGTTCTGGGACTGAATGTCTCCAGGGAATCTTATGGGTGATTTCAACTCAGCCTGTGGGGTCTCCCCCTGTATACCATCAGCTCAAAGTCTAAGGCTTCATTTCACCAGGCCATGCTCAACTCCTCTCTCTTTCTACAGAGAGCTGATGTCACCCTGGGGAGGAATGGAATGGGGGAAACAAGCTCCCAGTGAACTGTCCCCAAGTTCCCTCTTTAGAAGTCACATAATCTACACTCACCATTTCCCCTCAGTCTTTCCCAAGGAAGACCTTTGAAGTCTTGGGCTTGAGAAGGTTTTGCATAAAGGTGATTGCGCCCCTGCCTGGTGAATCCCCCTTTCAGGACACATCTAGACATCTGCTGCTTCCCACTGCCCACTGTAGCCTCCAGCACAGTGCTTGTGTGCAGCTGGGCTGCCACTGGGACACAGGGTTGTGTGGCTGCTGGAGGCTGTGGGAGGCAGGTGTTGGCTTTCCAAACAGCTGTTCAGCAAGTGAGGCTTCTTGGACCACACCCCGGCCTACTTCCTTCTGCTCTTGTAAAAGTGACAAACGAGTTTGGTTAGATTGTGGGTCTGTAACAGAATAGTAGTATTTTAATGTGTGAGGCTTATCAAATCCTGGCCAGTATCTGGTTTATCCATAATAGTTTAAATGATTGGCATCTATTCAAATCTGCATGTCTCCCAACATGACCAGAAATACAGCTAAGCATTTTCCTGGAGGGCAAGAGGGAGGGAGGTCTGGAGGGGTATGGGGAGGGCAGAAGACAGACACAGGGGGTTTGGATAGTTCCTAGAATTACTGCAACAATGGAAGAGGCAATGGGAGGAGGGATGGGGGCAGGAAAGAGGTAATGTCTCTTCTATTTGCCCTAGTGACTGATTTAGTTGGGGGCGCTGGAAAATTATCTGTGTTCTAGGTTGCCCTGTCAGTGTCCTGATTAGTCACACAGGCAATTCATTTCTTGTTTGTGTGCTCTGTGGTATGTGCTACCTGACACATAGGTTATATGCACACAGTACAACTGTCAGGCAGTCCAGGGCTTCTTGACTAGGTATCCCCCTGACCGTGTCTGACTGTGTGCTGGCCTCCCTCCTGTCTAGACTGGTATTACCACCTACCTGCAAAGCGCTCTGAGAAGGCTGTGGGTGCCCCACCTGCATCCCAGATCCCAGGGCTCAGTGACGTGGGAGACTCCCCAAATGAAAACATGCCCCGTGCTCGGAGATACTGGATAAAAGAAACAGACTCAGAGTATGTGAAGCTGGCTAAGCAAGGCGGCAGACCTGGTAAGTCCCGTGAACTGAGTGGCTTTGTGAGCAGAAGTGGGGGGTGGGGTTCCAATCTTATTCACATAAAATGTAACTGTGGTATCTATATGTTTTGTTCAAGCCTTTGGAAACTTAGGTTCATTGTGGACACTGCGTATATATAGTCTTTGATGAAAATCAACTTTTGTACAGGCATGCAAGGAAGACATACTGAGTTTAATAGAAATCACTGCTCAGAGGGATAAGTGTCTCAGCTAAGCTCTGGAGGCCAGTACTGAAAGAGACTAGGGTTTTCCTTTCTTCCCTCTGGCTGTCACTGTCCCTACATTGAATATCAGAGGTGAAGTAGTGGCCAAGTCTATATGCTTGCACATTCCAAACCTAGACCATATCACCTGATTGACTCAGCCAGGAGCAGATGGGGTGCAGGATCAAGGCAGGCTTTTCCTAGCTCCACCTCCTTGCTCTTGATTCAAAGAGACTAGCAAAATCGGATGGAAGTCACCAGTGACACAGTGGCTTTCAAGAGCAGCAGCTAAGGCACAGAGGATGAAGGGACAAACCTGCCTGCAACATGCCACTCAACAGTGCCGAGGCCCTAATGATGCTGGTAGCAGTGAGAGACATGGGGAGAGAAGAGAGCAGTGACCGAGCAGGCAGGATGTACAGGGAGTCTCAGTTAGGAGTGTAGGGAAATTCACACCATTTTCTCAATCTGACCCGTAAGTCTGAAAATCTTAACAACAAAAAAGACTTTGAAGTTTAAAATGGAAAGATTTCTCACTGAGAGGAGTAAGTCAGTACACTTTCTGCTGCAACCATGGCCATGGGAATTGTGAATTATTTTGCTGTTAGAATTACCTAGCAAAACCAGTTCTTACCACTTACTGCCCTTGGACACCAGTGGACAGGAGGAAGAGGAGAGATGAGAGGAAGAAAGTCATTGGGGAGCGAGGAGGCAGTTGGAAAGGGGCCTGTGCTGGGTACCTCCCTGAACAGCCACATAGTCACTGATACATTCCACCTTGGGACTTCCCATCTGGGAACCTGGAGGAAGCAGCTTCTCTAGGAATCAGCAGTGTGCATGGGGCAGACCCACAGTGGTGGACCAAGCTGGCCAGACTGCTGTAGGATGGAGAGGAGAATGGAGGTCACTGAAGGCTGAGGAGCATTGCCCACAGCCCCTGGAGATCTTGAAGTGTCTCGATAAACCCCTGAGGGAGTGCTAATGGCATCTGGCACAGATGCCAGCTAAGGACCAGGAGCTGCGCACACTCAAGAGGAGAGGACATGAGAGGTGGAGGGTGTGTGAGGGATGTCTCTGTCTGAGTGCCAAGCAGGACACTCGGCTCTCAGCCTGGGTAGAGGCCACCCTAGGGAAGATGGCACAGTGTGGAGTGTTGGTAACGCCACATGCCCTCGGGGCCTCAGGACCACATATAATGGTGTCCCTTTCTTCTTGAGATTTGCTGAAGCACTTTGTCCCTGGAACCAGGAAGGGCTCCCCAGTAGCCTACTCCCTGCCAGACTGGTATATCCACCACAGCAAGCCTCCGACAGCTCACCATCGAGAGTGAGTATCTCTAAGTCTCCCACATTGTTCTCTCTTTCTCTCTCAATATATTTAAAGCATTGGTGCCAGAAAAATAGTTCAGCAGCTTGCCAAGCCTGACCAGCTGAGTTCAATTTCCCTGGACCTACATTGTAGAAGTCAGTCAAGAGCCGGCAACCTGCATTTTACACTCTGATCTCTATATGCTTATGGTGGAATGTGTGTGGCTAAGCACAAATAAATAAAAAGTCATAAAAACAAGTTTGAAAAAATCTCAATTTGGATTGGAAAATTACAAATATCTCCTATTTCCAGAAAGTGTGGTATTACAGCCCCGAGTATGACTGTATGTAATAGCTAATGTTTTGAGAGATGTGGCCTAAACAGACAGGAAACTAGCATCAAGGAGACACACAGCCATGCCCCCTCAGGGTGTGGTTCTTTTGTTCACTTATTAGCTAGTAGCTTTAGGTTTTCATTCTTTGTCCCCTGGGCCCTGACTCTGTCGGCCTGCCCCAAAGCTTTCTTCTCACTGCAACTAGGAATGTACACAGTTCTCAGTCTTTAAGACCTTCATGGAAGGTCAGAGCCATGGCCCCCTACCCTGTCACAATGTCTAACTATTGTTACTCATGACCATGCAAACACGACCCTTCAGACACCTCTCTTGGTCTGAGAGGAAGCATAAAAAGTAATTTTTAGGGTCTACTTTTTCTGCTTTTTAAAGACTTGCCTTTTGTTTTGTGTTTTTGCTTGAAAGATTGTATCAACACAAACATCTTTCCATGCTGCTATGCAGTGTGCAGTGTCTCTTGACTGGCCCCAGGCACCTTGTAGGTTGTTTTGTTTTGTTTTTGTCTTCAGGACTCTGGTTCTTCCTGCTTTATTTGCTTTTGTGTTTTTATTTTAAGGTGTGTTGTTTTATATTTTAAATAGATCCCAGGCTGTTTGGGGCATCAGAATTTGAGGCCCAGGCTGACCTGAAACTCATGATCCTTCTGCCTCTATCTCCCAAGTGTTGAAATAACAGGCAGCCACCATTATCCTGGCTTTTGTTTTTTGTTTTTAACACATAAAAATAAAAAGAGCACATAATACTTTTACATGCCTGTGGCAAGTGAATGTTAAACTCCTATTATTTTTTACAATAGTTTGTAGGCCAGACTTGTGGTTCACAGGCTATTTTGTTTGTTTGTTTGCCCTGGTTGTCCTGAAACTTACTCTATAGACCAGGCTAGCCTGGAACTTTGAGATCCCCGTGCCTCTGCTTCCTGGGTGCTAGGATTAAAGGAGTGTTTCACTACCACCCACAGTTTTAATTCCAACACTAGGGAGGCAGAGGCAGGGGGGCTCTCTGTGAGGTCAAGGTTGAGATCAAGGCCAGCCTGGTGTACATATTGAGTTCCAGGACAGCCAGGGATGCATGGTGAGACCCTGTTTGTTTTTGTTTTCTAAGGGTTTGTGCTAAGTTCAGAAAAGAAGGGGAAGCAGGTAGAGAAAGCAGGAACAGACAAGAAAGGATAGGTGACCTTGGAGCTGACACTCTCCTATGGATTGTGTGGAAGACCAGTTCTATGCTTACATACCCACACTAAGATTGGCCATATGATATAGCAGCAGGTTGTAATTAGTTAAATGGTAACTTATCTCTTTGAAGGAAACAAAGTAGTAAATGCTAGTCTACAAGAAATAATTATAATTTATCCATTTTCTAAGCTCATACTTCAGAATGTCACCTTGTGATTCTTTTGTTGTTCTGGGGACCCTGGGGGCTTAGAGAGGCACTGATGTGTTTTTTCAGTGGCAGAAGTAAAGGGTCTGGCTACCTATGTTTTCTGGGAAGATGGGGGAAGTGGAGAGACAGATGAACCAGAGGGGTAAGAAACAGGGGAGGGAGGAAAGGAAGAAATGAAAAAGGAGAGAAAAAAATGGAGGGAGGGAGGAAGGGAGAATAAAGAGAAAGGGGGGAAGAATGAAATAGTGCCAGGTGCCAGGCAGTAACTTGTCCTGTCTGTCCTTGCAGAGTCCCCGTGGTGTCCATGCCAGATTACATGGTGTATGAAGAATTCAACTCTGATCAGGCCAATGGTAGTTATGAGTCCAGACGAGGCCCCTTTGACTTTGATATGAAAACAGTTTGGCAAAGAGAGGCCGAGGAACTTGAAATTGAGAAAAGAAAGGTAACCTTGCTGGCAAATGGGTGTCACCAGCATCTGTTTTGCTCCTGTGAATCCAGGAATAATTAAGGGAGTGTTCCTAAGCTGCTACTACAGCCTACTCAAGCTGCCTGCAGTCTTGGGTCAGCCCTCCTCTGTGCTCTGTGCTCTGAGTTCTGAGCTCTGTGCTCTGTTTTAAGTTTGGGACTAAGAGGCAAGAAGACACATTTTCTTTCTGTGTATGTTGACTTTATAGGTAAGATTGCCTTTTACCATCTGGTGTCTAATCAGTTAGCAGTTGTCCTGGGGAAGACTGGCCTAACACTTCCTATCTGCCACACAGAGAAAGGATGTGTTTATATGTGTTCAATATCCCACTTCTGGATACTTCACTCTTATTTAAGCCCAAATTACCCACAGTGTTCCTCGCTGATAAGAAAGAAAAGAGGAAGTACTTTGTTCTGCAGAGATGTCAGGGGTGTTTTGGCTATGATGTCATAACCGGCCTGCAAGGCGAAGCCATTTCAGAGGACTTGAGCTGTCTGAGCAACTGGAAATCCCAGAAACAAGCCATGAGTAGCAGATGGGTTGGGATTTCTACACTTTCTTCCTAGAACCTATGAGAGCATAGCCAGACCCATGCCAAATGTTCTGCATTGCTGCTAGCACCCAGGTCTGAAATGAATTTCAGCATGTGAGGCATCAAAATTTTCAAGTGAAGTGGTGACATTTATATTTAAAATAGCCGGGCATTGGTGGCTCATGTCTTTAATCCCAGCACTCAGGAGGCGGATCTCCGTGAGTTCGAGGCCAGCCTGGTCTCCAGAGCAAGTGCCAGGATAGGCTCCAAAGCTACATAAAAACATATATATATATATA